AGATATTTCTCTTCCACTATTATCTTCCTAGCACTTGCCTCAAACCATACTACATTCTCTCCATCAAGAAATGGTGATAGGAATGCCCTTCTATGATCTTCATCCCAATCATCTTCACTTGATGCAAAATCTTCAATGTGTGAACAATGTGGCAAACTGCTTGGCTTGGTGTAGGCTCATTTGAGTGACATGGCTATTTGGTTTGGAAAAGAGTGTTTGAAAATAAGTAAAAGAGTGTGTAAAATAAGTGATCGAGCTAAAAACAACCCTATTTTTATGGCTATTTTTCCATGCTTTTTGCCATTTTTATATGTATTTTTACCATATTTTATAAGTATTTGTGTTTTTAGGTCTTGAAGACAAGAAAAGTGGAAACTTGTTGTTTTTCACTCTTTTTGTAGCTATTTTGGTGACTTTTTACTCAATTATGGACTTAGCTATTTGGAATGAAGATTTGAAGATTCGAAGTTCGTGTTTGAAGATTTCTTGAAAATATTTTGAAGATTTGAAGACTATTGAAGAATTAATTCAAGAAGCAAGAATTGAAGATTTGGAGTTTATTTGCAAAGGATTGAAGCCAAGCCCAGAAGAAGTCCAGAAGTTAAGGATTATTGGATATTTTATATGGGATAATACTCAGCCCATATAAGTCCACAATTGGAGGTAAAATCCCAATTGGTGTCCCATATATCCAAGGAAATATCCAAATCTCGTAATTTCCCGCAACTAGTCCTATTTGGACTAGAATTCAGCACAGTCTTGGTAAAAATGCCATAACATTCTTGTCAGATGTCTGTTTTAGGCCCATGAGTAGCCGTTGGAAAGCTAATTCCAAGATCTACAACTTTCCTTTGAAGTCCAAAGCCCAGTTCTGTCATATTTAAGTCCGAATCTTCCGTCGAAGTTTCTGCAGAAATCCAGAAAATTCCAGGATCTTAATTTAACTTGGATTCTACTCTAGGAAGACTTTTAATCCAACTTGGAGTCCAAGTTAGACCTAGAACCATCCTAGACCCTTTCCTAAGTCTATTAGGAGTCTAATTAGTCCACTATATACAGCCACCTCCTGTAACACAAATCACATCCCTTACACACCTCTTAGATACCTTCATATAATTTCTTTTCTTCTATTTTTCTAGTTTTTCTCTAGTTTTAGGCTAGGTGTGTCGACACCCTCTCTTTGCATAGAGAGGTGCAGCATACCTAGGGTTTCAAGGAGGAGGATTTTGCCTTCAAGTTTTGTAAGTTTTCTTATGCCTCTCATGGATTTGGAAAAATCCATGAGTAGCTAAATTCTTAATACTTCTTATCCTTTGGTGAATTCAATCAATTGATTATGGTGAGATTTCTGTGCTTATAATTTGATATTAGTTCTTGATAGGTAGTAGGTGAGTCTCTGTTTTATTTTATGATCTTGATGATTGTGGAGTTAGAGCCGCGGCTAATGAAATAGTTTGATAGATCTATAGTTAAGTCAAACAATATGGTTAGTTCTTGAGTTTGACTATTTGGTAACAAATTAGGTATGCTTAGCCGCAGCCTAATGGGACAAACTTACCACTGACCGAGAAATTGCTTGGTGCCTGGTTTTCCTTTTGTATGCATGTGCGAAAAATTAATTGTTCTTAATGCTTTATTCTTAAGTGGTCTTTAAGCCCTAGAACGGTAATTGATTGCCAAAGGAATAAAAGGGATAACTTAGTCTTAGTCGGCACTTTATCTAATATACATGTTAGGTTCGCCCAAATCAGTATCTTAGAGGACAAAGTATTGAATTCATCTTTTAAATCAAGGATCCATAGTTAAATTGATTGATTCATACCATTGGAGAAGTAGTATGCCTTTTAATTATTGTTTTCTTTATAATTTGTTATAGATTTAGATTTAATTTACTTTGCTTTATTTTAGTTTAAATTGCTTTCTTAAAATCCCCTGTTTTCTGTTTTAAAACTAATTTTTGGAAAACATTTGTTCTTGGGAATAGAGTTCTTCACTCTTCTCTGTGGGAGTCGACCCCTACTTGCCCTATCTACTCAGTTAGGTTTTGTGGGGATTATTTTATGGTCATTGACGACACAATCAATAAGGTAGAAGAATATACAAGAAGAAATAGAAAGCAAAAAGGTCGCTTTTGGGTCAATTGGAGTGCCAACTGGTCTTTTTGGCTGAGTTGAAAGGCTAAGTGTTTACTTGGCCCGTTGGTTGCTGTTTTGCTATGTAAATGTGTTTGTGGAATGAGTGAGTATGAAATGAGAAGGGTGGGGAGCGTTTATATAGCAAACAGAGCATTCAATGTGCAAGAACCATGGAAATTGATTTGATTGTGGTCAACAGGATGGTTTTGGTAACAAGGGGTAGGTGTAGCAGCTTGTAAGGCAGGTCTAACCCTAATTCCCTCCTCCCTGCTTGCGTTCCCATAGCATTGACTCCTTACGTGTTGTCTTCCAAAGTAGGGCACTTATCAGTAAAGTGTCCTTGTGAGCAAATACCACAAACCTTAGGCACACTAGAAAGTTTCGAATTGAACAAATCAGTGAGCATAGCGATTTGCTGATTCGTTTCTTGAAGTTGTTGCTCCAATGAGGTGGAATGGGTAGAGACTTCATGATTCTTCTTGTATTGCCTTCTCTTTATGTAAAGTCTTCTTGAGATCCAAACTGTTGAGTGTTTGCAGCCATATTTTCCACTAAAGTCCAAGCATCAGTGGGAGTCTTGTCTATAAAAACTCCTCCACTTGCAGAATCTATGGAAGATCTGTCAAATGGTAGTAGCCCTTCTTAGAAGTATTGGATCAGCAACTTTTCAGAAATTGGATGATTGGGGCAGTTCGCGCATAGTGTCTTGAAACGTTCCCAATATTCATGCATTGTTTCTCCATGGTGTTGCTTAATTCTGCATATCTCCTTCCCCATACTTGATATTTTATGAGAACGAAAGTACTTTTCCAAGAACAATTTCTTAAGGCTCGTCCAAGAGGTGATTAAACCAGTAGGTAGGAGGTACAACCAATCTTTTGCACGGTCCACAAGAGTGAACGAAAAAGTTCTTAGCTTGAATTGATGTTCAGGAATACCTTGAATACTTGTAGATGCATGATCGTGTCGTCATCAAATCACAAGATAATCCCCACAAATCCTTATTAAGTAGTTAGGGTAAGTGGGGGTCGAATCCCACAGAGAAGGGTGAAGCAGATATCAAAGACAAAACTATTCGAAGAATCACTCAAAAACACTTAAAAGAAAGGGGATACAAAATACCAATTATAAACAAAATCAATTAATCTAAAAATAAAGCAAAACTAAATTAAATCTAAAGCTAAAGAAATTACTCAAGAAAACAATAATTAAAAGCATACTTCTTAACCAATGGTAGAAATCAATCAATTTAACTATGGATCCTTGATTTAAAAGATGAGTTTGATATTATAATTATTAAAGCAAGAAATATCGGTTAAACACCAATGATACCTTCAATTCAAAGATTTAAATATCATGTAAAACATCAACAAACTTGCCCTAATAACTCTCAATTGGACAATTGGTCTAGAGAAATCTCATAAGAACTCCCTAACATGTATATTAAAATTACCTATTACTAGCTTAAGTTATCCCTTTTATTCAAAACGATTAATTGCCAACTAAGGTTTATTAACCATCAAGAACAAAGCATTAAGAACAATTATTCACACATGCATATCAAGTATAACCAAACTTATTTAATTCAAGATTATTACCATCAAGAATAAATAAGGTCTATTAATCCCATTGGATGTTGTTTAAGCTATCCAATTCGTTACCAAACAATCTAATTAGTTATTACTGCGCAATTTGATTTAACAATAAATTCAATAGTTAAATCATTAGTAAGCTTCCTAAATCATTAACAATCAAAATCATGGAATAAAACAGAGATTATAAACATACCTAACCAAGAACAAATATCAAATTATAAGCACACAAATCTCACAGTGATTATTTGATTGAAATCACCAAAGGATAAGAAGTATTAAGAATTTAGCTACTCAGTTCCACATATACCTCTTCCTGAATGTGACCATTAAGGAAGGCACTCTTCACATCCATTTGGTAAAGCTTGAAGTCCATATAACATGCAAAGGCAAGAAGGAGTCTGATTGCTTCAAGTCTTGCTACTGGAGCAAAAGTCTCATCATAATCAATTCCTTCTTCTTGATTGTAACCCTTTGCAACCAATCTTGCTTTGTTCCTGACAACTCTGCCATTCTCATCAAGCTTGTTTCTGAATACCCACTATGTGCTTACTATGGGATGATCTGCTGGTGGTGGCACTAATGTCCACACCTTTTTCCTCTCGAACTGATTTAGCTCTTCTTGCATTGCACTCATACAGCTTTATTCTTTTTCAGCATCTTCAAATGCTTTAGGTGATACGAATCTAATTGTGATAGATTCAAATCCACCTTTGAAAATCCTCCAAAGATCAACTTGACAACTTCAACTCCTAGAATTGTATGTAGATCGATAAACCTAACCAAGCTTCTTCTTCGTTCGTCACCTTGAGATGGATAATTAGACCTGCAATTATCAATCTAAGAACACAAGATTCACTAACAATTAAGCAATCACAACCTAATTGTTTGCTAGGACTCTACAAGATTGAAGAACTCTAAAGTTTGCTCAAACTAGAACAATGAAGCTAAGATAATCAATTCGGTGAATAAACCTCAACTTTTTTATTGAAAACTTAACTTGTGTTTACAAGAGGGGGTTGATCCCCTTATATAGGCATAGAGGACACCCCTTACCCTAATCCTAAAGCAATATGGGCGGTTTTACCTAAAGGAAAGGACAAGGAAATAGCCTAATCCAAGTCCAACTAGGAAAAGTAAATAACAAAGCATGAATAAATAAGGATTATACTTAGTCAAACAAGGCCCAATCCTAATGTCATATAATCATAAAGATAAACTAATCTAAGATAGAATTAAGCCCACAATGGCTGATTAAATCAATTAAGCACAATCACACATCGATTGCAAGCAAAGTAATGAGCTTGGAATCGATGGGAATATTCTTGCCCAAATCATCATCAAATCTCTTCAATTGAACTTCAATGGTCTTCAAATCATCTAGATGAGTTCGAACAAGGCTCATGAGTGCATATTTGAATCTCTTAGCTCTTGCTCTTGTCATCGGACCATTAGACATCTTCAATTGATCAAATGGCATCTTCTTGGTGCTAGAAACATGATTTGCGATATCACCATCATCTTCATGCTTGTCCATGCTTCCTTGAAGCCCATGTTCATTCTTTCCATGATGTCCAATGTCATCTTCAAGTCCATGATAAGCCCTTGGCGCATCATCCCCTCCCCGTTGAAAAGGATTTGTCCTCAAATCTTGCTTATATCGCACCACATATGGAAAGCTCTCAATGAACTCCATCCACTTAGCATGCCTCTTATTCAACTTTTGTTGGCCTCTCAAACACTTCAAGCTTTCATGATCGCTGCGAATCACGAACTCCTTAGGCCACAAATAGTGTTGCCATGTTTGCAATGCTCTTACAAGAGCATACAACTCCTTGTCATAGGTAGAATAATTCAATGCAGCCCCATTTAATTTCTCACTAAAATAAGCTACGGGCTTTCATCCTTGCATTAAAACAGCGCCAATACCTACACTTGATGCATCACATTCAATTTCAAAAGTATTGTTAAAGTTAGGCAAAACAAGCAAAGGAGCATTAGTGAGTTTATTCTTCAAAGTCTCAAATGCTTCTTGTTGCTCTTGACCCCATTTGAATGGTGCATTCTTTTTCAACACACTTGTTATAGGTGCTGCCAAGGTGCTAAAGTCCTTAACAAACCTCCTATAAAATCCAACCAAGCCATGGAATGACCTCACTTGACCAACGTTGGTTGGTGTTGGCCAATCTTCAATTGCTTTGATCTTCTCCTCATCAACTTCTATACCTTGCGCAGAAATCACAAAACCAAGAAAAACAAGCTTGTTTGTGCAAAAGGTGCACTTCTTAAGGTCAGCATACAACTTCTCAACCCTAAGCACATCTAACACACATCTTAAATGCTCAACATGTTCTTCCAAGGTGCGGCTATACACAAGAATATCATCAAAATAACCAACAACAAACTTTCCAATAAAAGCTCTTAAAACATGGTTCATTAGCCTCATAAAAGTACTAGGTGCATTAGTCAATCCAAAAGGCATAACTAACCATTGATACAATCCTAACTTAGTTTCAAAGGCTGTTTTCCATTCATCACCCCCTTTCATGCGAATTTGATGATACCCACTCTTAAGATCAATTTTGGAAAATAGACAAGCACCATGCAATTCATCAAGCATATCATCTAATCTAGGAATAAGGTGACGATACTTAAATGTTATGTTGTTTATTGCTCTACAATCAACACACATTCTCCAAGTTCCATCCTTTTGGGAATAAGCAAAACAAGAACAACACATGGAGAAAGGCTTTCACGCACATACCCTTTTTCAAGCAACTCACCAACTTGTTTCTCCAACTCCTTTGTCTCATCAGGATTAGTCCTATAGGCTGGCCTATTTGGAATTTGCACCCCAGGGATAAAGTCAATTTGATGCTCAATCCCTCTAATTGGAGGTAATCCACTAAATTTCCTCAGGAAACACATCTGCATAATCACTCAAAAGAGAAACAATATTGCTTGGAAGTTCTCCAGCCAAGTTGTTAGTGCTCATAACTGTACTTTTAAGCAAAAGCAAGATCAAAACAGAATTATCATGCAAAGCACTCTTAATCACACTTTTAGTAGCTAACATACACTCCTTAACAACTTTCTTAGAACTAGCTTTCTTATCAACCAAAACAGCATTGTTTTCAACGCATCTAGAACTAAAATTAGTTTCATGTTTCTCTTTTTCTTTAGCCCTATATTTAGCTTCCATTTTAGCAAATCCATCCCTCAATTTCAATTGATCTTTCAAAGCTTCTTGAGGTGATAAAGGAACTAAAGAAACAAGAATCTTACCACACATAAAGGAGTACTTGTTTGTCTCACCATCATGTTGAACTTTGTTGTCATATTGCCAATGTCGACCAAGTAGTACATGACATGCTTGCATTGGCAAAACATCACACAAAATGTCCTCCTTGTACCTGCCCAAAGAAAGAGAAACTAAAACTTGCTTGTTAAAATTAATTTCTTCTCTATCATTGAACCATCCTAAACTATAAGGTTTAGGGTGTTTTGATGTGGGTAATTTTAACTCTCTCACCAAATAAACACTAGCTATGTTTGTACAACTCCCACCATCAGTGATCACACTACTAGGCTTCCCATTCACATAACACCTAGTATGGAACAAATTCTCCCTTTGGTTTTGCACATCACCTTTTACATAAGCACTCAAAGTTCTCCTAGCAACCAAACTCTTAACTGGTGGTATCTCATCATCATAATCATCCTCATCAATCGCGACCCCTTTTTCATCTCTTTCATCATCTAAATTAAATTCCTCATCTTCACTCAAAAGATCACCTTGCTCATTAAAATACAACACTTTCTTGTTGACACAATCCTTAGCATAATGACCAAATCCTTGACACTTAAAACACTTAATGTGAGATTTAGAAGAAGAACTAGATGAAGATTTTGAATCGGATTTGGGACTTACAAACCCTTTTTGCGTCACCTCCTTCTCTTTGCTTGGAGTTTTCTCATATCTCTTGTAAGAAGGTTTAGACATCAACAACATCATCTCCGAATAGTACTCATCAACACTGATTAAAAGTCAGTAATCATAAAAATAATCCTACAAAAACCTAACTAAAGTAGATAGGGCAAGCAGGGGTCGAATCCCACAGAGAAGGGTAGCAAACTTATCCAAAGAATAAATCTTCTCCAAAAATTACTTTTAAAATAGAAAACAGGGGATTAGGAAAATTTATTATAAAGAAAACAATTAAACTAAAAACAAAGCAAAATAAATTAAATCTAAACCTATGGCAATTTATAAAGAAAACAATAATTAAAAGGTATACTTCTTCTCCAATGGTATGAATCAATCAAATTAACTATGGATCTTTGATTTAAAAGATGAATTCAATATTTTATTCTTGATGACCCTTGGTCTAGGGAAACCCTAACATGTATATTAGATATTATACCAATCAAGTTATAACACCCCTTTTATTCCTTCAGCAATCAATTACTTTTTCAGGGCCTAAAGATTACTTAAGAACAAAGCATTAAGAACAATTAAATTAGTTTTTCACACATGCTTAATAACCAAATAACAAGCAAATAAATCACCCATCAGTAAACTAGTCCCATTGAGTCGCAATCAAGCTTCCCAATTCGCTACCAAACAATCAAACTCAGAAATCAATCATATTGTTTGATTTAGCTATAGATCCATCCAATTACGTCATTAGTGGCTACATAAATCAATAACTATCAAGATCATAAAATAAAACAGAGACTTGTCTACCATCTATCTAGAACGAACATCAAATTATAAGCAAAGAAATCTCAGCATAATTAATTGATTGAATTCACCAAAGGATAAAAAGTATAAAAAATTTAGCTACTCATGGATTTCCCAAATCCATGAGAGGGATAACAAAACTTACAAGACTAGAAGGGGGTGGAATCTCCTTCTTGAAACCCTAGGGATGCCGCACCTCCCTACGCAAAGAGAGGGTGTCGACACACTTAGCCTAAAACTAGAGAAAAAACTAAAACAAAAGAAAGGTAGAAAAAGAGAATTATGAGTTGTGTGTAAGTATGTGATTTGTGTTACATAAGGTGGCTATTTATAGTGGACTAATTAGACTCCTCCTAGACTTAGGAAAGGGTCTAGGACGGTTTAGAGGCTGACTTGGTCTCCAAGTTGGGTTAAAAGTCTTCCTAGAGTCAAAATCCTTGTGAAAATAGGACTCTAGAAAATTCTGGATTCGTGCAGAAACTTCGACAGCAATTTCGGGCTTGAAGATGGCAGAAACGGGCTTTGGACTTTAAAGGAAACTTGTAGATCTCGAAATTTTCTTTCCAACGGCTACTCATGGGCCTAAAACAGACATCTGAGCAGAAAGTTATAGCCTTTTTACCGAGACTGCGCTGAATCCTAATCCAAATAGGACTAGTTGCGGGCAATTGCAGAAATTGGATATTTTGGAGGGTTTATGCGGCACCAATTGGGATTTTAACTCCAATTGTGGGCTTATATGGGCTGAGTATTATCCCATATAAAATATCCAAAATTCCATAGCTTCCGGGCTTGTTCAGGGCTTGGCTTCAATCCTTTGTAATTAAGCTCCAAATCTTCAATTCTTGCTTCTTGAAATAATTCTTCAATGGTCTTCAATTCTTCAAATTATCTTCAATCAATCTTCAAACACAAACTTCGAATCTTTAAATCTTCAATCCAAAATTGCTAAGTCCATATTTGAGTAAAAAGTCATCAAAATAGCTCCAAAAAGAGTGAAAAACAACAAGTTTCCACTTTTCTTATCTTCAAGATCTAAAAACACAAATACTTATAAAATAGGGTTAAAATACACATAAAAATATTAAAAAACATAGGAAAATAGCTATAAAAATAGGGTTTATATTAGCTCGATCAAACACTCTTAGATCCTTGCCTCAATGTTTGCAAACTTTGATAAAGAGAATTGATGTAGAAACTTGGCACAAATCTCTTCCTCATAATAGTCTTCAATTCAGCCCATGTTTCAATTGGTCTTTCCAAATTTCTTCTCTTAGATTGCACCAATTGATTCCACCAATTTAAAGCATTCTCAAAAAACTCAAGGATAGCAATTTGTACCTTCTTAGTTTCGGCAAAAGGATGATAATCAAAGTACATATCAAATTTTGATTCCCACTCCAAATAATCTGTTGTAGTTCCTCTCCCATTAAACTTAGGAATCTTGTACTTAATGTTGTCCTTAGGCTCATCTCTATCACCACCTCTTTAGGCTGCAAGTTCTCATTGTAAGCTTGACCTCCAGCTTCTTGCTCCCTCAATCTCTCCATTGGATCCCTTCTAACAACTTGCCTTTGAGCTTGTTGTTGTTCTCTTTGTCCATTAATTTGTGCAACATTAGCCCTTGGTTGATTTTGGGCTTCTAAGGTGTTCAACCTTTGATCAAATTGAGTGGACATGGTATCCAATCTTTGCATGAGATTTTGCATCATGGTAGCCAAGTCGTCGGCTTGATTTTGCTCTTCTTGTTTATCTTCCATTGAACCTACATAAAAGAAAAGTTAGTAGCAAAAATCCTCACAAGTGTGTGTATGTGTATACCATGTTGTGCTCTCGTGTTTGCATACAAAACTAGTTGGATTGGCGGTCCTCTAAGCTCTCTTAATAATCTCACACAATTCTGCCTTTTACCTCACTTTAGCTTTAATAGGCCTAATAAGAGCAACTTGTAAGAGTAACTTCTTTCTTCTCGTGACCTACTTGAGAAACAAACAATTAGGAGCAACAACTTATGTGAATCAAAGGAAAGAGTGATCTTAGAATAATCAAACCAAACCAATTTCCAGCCTCTTTGTGTCATCCAAACTTGTTGCACAAATCTTATCAAAACAACATAATACACAATTCAAGTTCAACCCTAGTTATACCACTTATTTTGCAACTTGAAATTGGTGATCTCCAAACTGAAATCTTTCAAATTAAACCTTCAGTTACAGCAAAAGCACCCCAAAATCCTCAAACAAACATTCAATTTCACAATTCAAGATCATTTGAGACTCACAATCAAAAAGCCCCAAAAAACCTAGATAAGAATTCTAATTCCCAAAACTGCGATTACACTACTGATTTTTTTTTGAATTTTTAAATATTTTCCCAGAAAGATCAAGATGTAAAAACACTAAATCTAAAATTTCAAAGCTTTCTGACCACAAACAAATCCAGAAAAAAAAAAATCACAAGTTTCTGGTCAAATTTTTTTTTATTTTTTTGACATTCTTCGATATAACCTTGATGTATGAGGTCCTCCAAATCTGAAATTTCAAAACAATCGGAGCTATAACAATCCACAATAAAATTCACAAGTTTCTGATTTTTTTATTTTCAACTTTATGGATGAAGATGGAACTAGAACTTGATGAATGATGAATAGAAGGATAGATTTACCGATTGAAGATGAAAAACCTTGCTCTGAATACCAATTGATACGAATCTAGTTGTGATAGATTGAAATCCACCTTTGAAAATCCTCCAATGATCAACATGACAACTTCAACTCCTAGAATTGTATGTAGATCGATAAAACTAACCAAGCTTCTTCTTTGTTCGTCGCCTTGAGATGGATAATTAGACCTACAATTATCAATCTAAGAACACAAGATTAACAAACAATTAAGCAATCACAACCTAATTGTTTGCTAGGACTCTACAAGATTGAATTTGCTCAAACTAGAACAATGAAGCTAAGATAATCAATTGGTGAATAAACCTCAACTTTTTTATTGAAAACTTAACTTGTATTTACAAGAGGGGGTTGATCCCCTTATATAGGCATAGAGGACGCTCCTTACCCTAATCCTAAAGCTATATGGACATGACACAAGCCTTTTAAACCTGGATAAATAAACAGGAGGTGTGAAGTCACCAGAGTGTTTACTTAACTAGAACGATACCCACAAACATTTAAAACAAGATAAAAAAGAGAGAGAATTTTTCGTTTAAGACATATCATAGCATAGAACAAACTAGTCAAAAATCAGTATGTTCAATTTCCATAATCAAACAATTAGCTAGAAATAGCCTTTCAAAGAAATCAATTCTCAATCAATTCTATGCAAAATCATTATTCAATTTCAAAAGCAAAGCAAGAATAAGTCTTCCATTCAACTTCATCATAGTCAAAAGAAAAGTACTTAAGCAATAGATACTAACACATCCATCCAAGGTTTTCAAAAACAATTTTTAAGTCACACAAGTTATATCACACACATGTAGAATTATATTCAATGATTAAGCGATGAAAGAATGGGTAAAAGAATAGAAATTTAGACTCAAAAAGTGGTGTTTGAGTGTATAAGACTTTTTTAACCCAAATCTTGGCTCAAATCAAACACTTTTATTCTTTTAATCGGCTTCAATGTTGCTTCGAAGGAATTGTTCTTTTATTCACTTTTTTTTTTACAATGGAATAACTAATTTTGAATGCTTTTCTCCCTTAGAACAACATTTTTTTTTTAATATTCCTTGATGGAAGAAACAAAATTTTCAATCTAAGCCTTTAAAACTGTGGGAACAATTCCCCACGCTTATTTTTCACTTATGAAGCCAAGAAAAGAATTCTCAATTTAGCAAAAATGGCTAAAAACAAGGGGAAAATAGGGTGTAAAAGATAGGTATTTAAGATCAAAAAATAGGGTGTAAAAGATCGGTTTCCAAAGGGTGTAAGATTAAAGAATCACTACTAGAAAACACTAATATAGGGGCGTTTATTTAGCGGCATTTAGTGAACGCTGCTATTCGATTCGCTAAAAATTGAAGATACCGGCGTTTCCCCGTTAAACGCCACTAAATTGCAGCGTTTGTAACTATAAACGCCGGTATATACAAAAAAAAAGTGCGGGAGAAGGTTTCTGTGCGACTAATTTAAGTCAAAATTATATTTCTAAATAAAATAGCGGCATTTGGGCTTCAAAACGCCACTAAATAAGGGCGTTTCTCACAAAAGCGCCGCTATATATAATCTTTTATAAGGCACAGTTATTTGGCGAAACTAAAAACACTATTTCTTGATGGCAATAGCGGCGCCGCAAAATAGCGGCGTTAAACTGGTCTTCATAACACCTTCTTACAACCACAAAGTTTCGAACCCGAAACTTCAACACCGAGTGCAACCCCACACTCACACAATCCCAAGTGCACAACCCGCACTTCAACAAACACAATAAACAAAGTATAAAAGTGTAGAAAAGATCCTAAAAGATCACAATACACATGATCAAGTCTAAAACAATCTAAAGATTTAAACTTTAAGCGCAAATACAAAGATCAAAGCGATAAAAGAAAATTAAAGCTTGGACTTTTGGGACTTTGAAATTCTGGATAGAGTAATCTATTTGATTTTCAAAAATGCTCTAAAACTTAGACTCAAACATTTAGATTTGAGTTTTTATACTTTCTCCAGCGAAGTAGCCGTTTTAGTTTGAAATTCAAACTATTTTCCCGTTTTCTTGTCTTTTAGTCACGCCAGCTGTTAATCACTCCAGCGCGTCCGTACGTCGTTGATCACTTCAGTGTGTCCGTACTGTTTGTCTTCTAGTAGCTAGTCGCTTTAATCTCCAGATCATTAATCCCACCAATGTCTTCTACTTTCCTTCTAACTTTAAAATTCTGTCTTGACTTGAATATTCTTCTCATATGCTGACTTAATTCTACTTCTTTAATTTTGAACTTTGCCTTCTGAAATTGCTGCCTTTGGCTCCAAAAATTCCTCTTAGGAGGTTTTGCGTTCTTCGCACGCCTTAGGCTTCATGGCATTCTTCTACATTAGTACCACTGATGAAGCTTTCGTTTTAAGAGTCTACACTTATTAAAGAGTTCACTACACACTAAGTAGATAAATTAGCTAACACATTTGTGTTTATTTTGTTATAATAAAAAACAACAGGGTTCAGCATAATACCTTTAATGTCAGCAATAGTCGAAGCAATATCCATCTTGCGCTCTCTCAAAACTCGTACAATCTTCTCATCCTAAACACTAGATAAAGAAGATGAGATAATAATTAGGTAAGTATTTGATTCACCTAGAAAACATACTTCAAATGAGAAGGAAGATGTTTTAATTCCAGCTTTGGTGGTGCTTGGCAAGAAGGCTGTTGGGTTTCCTTTGTCCAAATTCTTCAATATCTAAACAATTATCAAAAGAACCACTGCCTTCTAACCTAATAGCCTAATCATGCAAATTTTCAACAAATTCTTCTTCACCTAAAGATAAAGTTAAGCAAGGGAGAACGACATCATCACTTATCACTTTAACAACATTCTCATTCACATATTCATCTAGCACATCAAGCCTAAAACAAGAATCCTCAAGAGAAATGTTTTTCATGGCTTTCAAGATGAAAAATTCTTCCTTATCCTCACCAATACTCTCAAAGTGAGCTTACCAGATGCAATATCAATCAAAGCATAGGCAGTAGCCATAAATGGCCTATGCAAAATCACAGACACATCCACATCATATTCCATTTCCATAACCAAAATATCAACAGAAAATATCAACTTACTCACCTTGACCAACAAATCCTCTACAACACCTATAGGATATCTTACTGAACGATCCGCTAATTGTAGGGAAACTGTTGTAGGTTTGAGTCCTTCCGATCCAAGTTTCCTGTAAACAGACAAAGACATCAAATTAATGCTAGCACCTAAATCAGCCAAACATTTAACTTCACTCAATTCACCAAAGTAGAAAGGTATAATAAAACTCCCTAGATCCTTTAACTGAGGAGGTAGTTTTCTATGAATGATGGCACTACACTCCTCAGTCAAAGGTACGGTAGAATATTTATCCAATGGAAGCTGAATATAGGGCTAAAGAAAACATGAAACTAGTTCTAGTGCTAAATGCGATGAAAACAATGTTGTTTTGGTTGATAAGAAAGCTAACTCTAAGAAAGTTGTTAAGGAGTGTATGTTAGGTACTAAAAGTGAGATTAAGAGTGCTTTGTATGATAATTCTGTTTTGAACTTACTTTTGTTTCGAAATACGCTAATGGGTACTAACAACTTGGTGTAGCAACGTGCGGGTCCGGGGTCCAAACCCTACTGTTTAACGACTTGGGGGAAAACTACTGTATTTTACGGGAGTCGCCACTAATCTTTTTTTATCTAGGTGTGATTAGTCACCTATCCGATTATTAAATCTAATATTAACCTAAGCTTGGCAAAGGTAATACTAAACCTAATAAAGTCTGCTTAACCAGAGTCTATGGTCCGAGAGTCGGGTACGCGTGGGGAAAGATTAGCACCCCCACGACGCCTGTCAAAATGACGGCAATGACTAGTCTAAGACTAACTATGGGTTTCTACCATTGGTTGTTTCTATTCTTAAAGTCTTAAGTCTATTCATGTCTGCTTTTATAATCTTTGGTCTAACTTAAGTGAATTATGATTGGCCTTAGTTAGTTCTCTATTTGAACCAAATTGTTCCTTGATTTTACTTAATTACCTGGATTAAGCCAATTTTACTATTCCCTTTATCTTTACTTAATCTTCTTTAAATTTGGCCACTTCATTATTTCCTTCCTTTTATTGACTCAATTTACATGAATTAAGCCCTTTTATTGTTTTACTCAATCTCTTTTTGGATTAATTTATTCAATGTTCCACTTAATTGCCCTGAATTAAGTTCTTTAGTAACTCTACTTAATTACCCTGAATTAAGCTCTTTATTGACCTTACTTAATTGCCCTGAATTAAGTTCTTCACTTCACTTAATCCCCTGGGATTAAGTCTTTGACTGATCGTGCTTAATCGTCTGGGATTAAGTCTTTGAATGCTTTTACTTAATTACCCGGAATTAAGTATGTGCTTGATTTTACCTAATTTCCTTGAAATTAAGTCTGTGCTTAATTTTACCCAATTTCCTTGAAACTAAGTCTGTGCTTGTTTTACCTAATTTCGTTGAAACTAAGTCTTTGCTGGTCTTACCTAATTTCCTTGAAATTAAGTCTGTGTTGATCTTACCTAATTTCCTTGGAATTAAGTCTTGTGCTTGTTTTACCTAATTTCCTTGAAATTAAGTCTGTGCTTGTGTTACCTAATTTCCTTGAAATTAAGTTTGTGCTTAATTTTACTTAATTTCCTTGAAATTAAGTCTTTGCTTGTTTTACCTAATTTCCTTGAAATTAAACATGTGCTTGTGTTTACCTAATTTCCTTGAAATTAAGTATGTGCTTGATTTTACCTAATTCCCTTGAAATTAAGTCTATGCTTGTGTTACCTAATTTCCATGAAATTAAGTCTTTGACTGGTTTTTACTTAATTACCCCGATTTAAGTCATTGACTGCTTTACTTAATTACCCTATATTAAGTCTTTGACTGCTTTACTTACTTAATTACCCTGAATTAAGTTCTTGACTGTGTTTACTTAATTACCCTGAATTAAGACTTTGACTTGTGTTTACTTATGCATATGATGCATGTATTCCAGTTTAAACATTTTTTACCGTGTGGTTATACGAGAGACACTATTTGGGCACCTTCCACTTGATTGGTAAGACCCCCATTTAGATGTCTCAAGCCTAGGAAACTCGGATTGAAATGGACAAATAATGTCTACATTTCAACCGATTATTCCATCATCGGTGTCAATTTGCTTTTCTCAAATGAGCATGGCATCAACGACATTTAAGGAAATTTAAAATGCATGACCATGAATGTAGCATATTTTTTTCAAGATTTGTTGATTTTTCCACATAATTAGTAAAATAAATTACTAAATTTTTATCAAAACTTTAAATTGAGGGATTAATTGACTTAATTTTCCACAATTAGGGCCTAAATTAAACTAAAACTAAGCCAAACGAACCTCATTGTATTGTCTATTCTCTAGTCAGGGACTTACTTGAAAATGCTAACGCCTTACAGGATTTCAGTGCATCAAATTAAAGACTAAATTGAAGAGGAATAGGAAGTCATACCTGAAATTGCTGATCTCTCTTTGTTTACACTGAAACACGCCGTTTTTGCACTGTACGGACTATGTAAAGCCAGCACCTTTCCTCTTCTCCAAAGCTTTCCCCCATCTGCAAATTCAACGTAGCGCCGCCACCGGGAATCGCTCTGCCGCGTCGGAGCACAAACCCACCATAGATGGCCTCCAAACTCCTTCAAGTAGCTCGGCTCTTTCTCCTCTTTCCAGATCTGACCTCAAATTTGTCAGCAAACTCCTCTAATTGCTTCGAACCCAAACAACCCAAAACCCCCAAACATTCCTCGATCTCAATATTCTATGGTTGAACCTCTCTTATCTTTGACGATGTGATTTCTGTCATCATTCTAAGGCTTCCTATGGGTTTGATTTGTTTGATACTTTCCCAAAACGAAACCCCCCCCCCCCCCCAAATTCAAGTTATGAACCCTAGCTCGAAAATTTTGCAGAGTTTTCCCTTTTTCAAAAAATAATCCCCCCCTTCTGAGGAAGAAGATGAGCCTATTTATAGGCCTAGGAGTGTGAGGTCCGATCTCTTCATCAACGGTTCTCCTTTCTTCTTTTAATTTTGAATTTTATTCTCTCAAATACTTCCTGATTTCCTTCTCTCTGGTGCAGGTGAGATCTATTTAGAATAAGGATGACACATTTTATGAGCTGTAAAATGATGAGTCATGTCCTTTCCCGGAGGTTTCTGGTTTTTCTTAGCTTATGGTTTTTGAAATACTGCTATTTGGGCCTGTTTTAGTTCCTCAAACAATTTGGTATTCTCAGTTGACATATTTCATTATTAGTCCTTTTTACTTTATCCATTCTTCACTCCGGAAAAATTTTTGCTTTCATTCCCCTCCCTAGTTTTGTCTTTTGTGAATTCAGTCTCCTATCCTTTGTGAAGGAGGCGCTGAGCTGGCGGCCTAGTACTGGGTTTTTGCTAGGTGACCTATTTATGCCACAAACCTTCATATTTTTCCTTCTTCCATCTTGGGGATTTCTGTTTAGCCCCCTTGGTTTTGTCTCTTCTTGTTTTCTTCATTAAGCTTCTCACGTGTGACCATTTTGTGTGTGCAGATGCTGTTCTGATGATGAGCTGGCTAATGAGACAAGAGCAGAGACTTCTTGTTGCTGAATTGGTAAGCCTATTTGCTGAGCTAGCCATTCCCAGCACTAATCACGGGCTGCCATATCAGGTGAGAGTTCTTTTCCTCCATTTGCTTCTGTTTGACCACTTGAGAACTTTCTGATAATGCTTATATATGCTCTGATGTAAACTGATATGTATGATCAGTCCATTTATTCAATTTTGAAAATGCAAAAATAACATCATGCGATGCTACTTAGAGTACTTGCATTGTTTATTTTGCTGTTAAAGCGATGTGAGATGAACCTAGGCATGCAGTGATGAATTTTCCCTTGCGACTCATATGCTCATGCTTGAGAACATGTATGCTAAAATGAAAATGTTGTTGGAATTCCCTTGATAAAGGTAGTGAAGTATCTGTTTTGAAAATGCTGACAGTGTTCTATTTTTTGAAAAATGCAAATCCGTAAATGTAACGACCTTATTATGCACCCTAACTGTTATGCAACTACTATGCATGTTGTAAGGCTAATTGGTCATGTATCCAAGCTAAGATGCAACGCTTCTGTGACTTATATGCCATGAAATGCCATGCATATGCGCCTTGCCTAGTTTATCTTACTTATGCATGTTTTAAGGCCTTGTTGGCATATCTGAGGTTCACAAACCAATTCTGAATCTTACTCCAAACTTGGCCAAAAATAAACTTCCCCAGGCTTTTGGTTGTTTTGCTTTTACTGCCATGTACTGTCTTGTATTTACTGTCCTGGTTACCATGCCATTTTATTGTTGTTCTTATGTTGTTGTGTCACTGTTGCTTTACTGCTTCCCCTTCTCTTGAAATATTTGTGACCATGGTTGCTGAATTGATCTTGTGCCCTTTTAATCTGTGTGTTGTTTGTTCTTTTTATCGAACCAGGGCACTTGCCAATTAATGGTATCCTGCCCTTTAAGCCTGGGGGCACAATTTGTATTCATCTTTTGTGCTCATTTTCCTATGCGGGTCATCCAAACATTGATTTCAACTTACTATGGCAAGCTTAACCTTGTGAAAAGGATACAAAGAAAGGGGGAGTATCAATCAAGGAATGTAACCAAGTTGTTTTCTAGTCCTTAGTCCTTTCTGAATTTCCAATCTGTAGAATGCCAGAAGTGAAAATTATTTCTAATTTGTAATTTATTTCATAATGCTTATGGCCCCTTTTCCTTCTTTTATGTATTATGAACTAGCCTTCTAAATCCATTAACTTAGAAACTAATTTGTAATATGGTACGACAATGCAATGGGAAAAATCATCTTGCAGTATGCAATGCAAAACTGCCATGCTTCTTGTAAGCATAAGTGTAAGGGAACGAGCCGCTCTTAATCCTAAAAGCAAGTCCAAGTGCAAACTACCCAATTAAAGCCCGGAATTAATAAGCCCAAAGGATACAAATGGACTAATTTCAGATTTTATAGCCTAACCAAGGGAAATTTTGGACCAATTGCTTAGTTCTCTTTTTTTATTATGATCTGCAAAATATGATATGCTAATATGGTATACTAATGCAATGTTGTGGCAATGCTATATAATTTGTTAATGCAAATAAAGTGAGAACCCATGCAAGATGCAAATTTATTAAAATGTCCTAGAAAATTATGAATTGACAAGAACATCTCTAGGTGCAAATTAAGAAGCAATTAAAGTATATGTGCCAAAAATGGGTGTCTACACTTGGCTGGAGAACTTCCAAGCAATATTGTGTCTTTTTTGAGTGATTTTGTAGGAATTGGAGTTGTTTTGATGCATGGAGGAAAGCTGATGCGCCAAGGACTTATCATGGACTTGAAGATGACAATAGAGATCATGGAGAGAATGAGCATGGGCTGCAAGGAAGCATGGACAAGCTTGAAGATGATGGTGATATCGCAAATCATGTTTCTAGCACCAAGAAGATGCCATTTGATCCATTGAAGATGCCAAATGAATAACAATGATTGATTTGTAACGTGATAGCCTTATCATTATTTGTGCTTGTTTAAATTACATGAACTTAATGCTTCATTCATGTTTCTGAGGCGTGATAGTTTGGAAGCATGAATAATAGGGTTAATCTTTGTGCCGGGCGGAGTGAGATTAACTAATGTGGTAATTATGGATTTAAAACTTACCTTTTAAATCCAAGCAAGCTATCCATAGATTTCATAATCTTTTGATATCGATGATCCATGTTAATTTGTCAAGAGTGATAATTAGTCATATGTTGGAGGTTTCTTTATTATATTTTGTTTTCTTTTATATATTGATTTAGGTTTCCTTTATAATATGCTTTAGTTTTCTTAATTAGTTAACATAGATTTAATTCTCGGTAGTTATATTTTTAATCTTGATTTCTTTAGTATAATTGATTAGATAAGAAATTAATCAATCCTCTCTTTATTTTTAATCTTCACCTTTCTTTACCTTAGTTGCCACATTCTAAGTAATTGCCTCCATCAGTTGGTGTTCCTTGATAGTGTTCTTAATGAACCTATCAGTAGTCTCTTTAGAGAACTTGACACAGCTTTCAACCAGGTCTTTTTCATAAGGCTTAGAGTCATCAGCGCTAATGCTTTTCTACACATAGCCTGTGATGATATTGATCAGACCAAAATTATGCATCTTTTCATGGTCATTTTCCTATGCTTTTGGGTATTTTATGCTTGATTATGCCTTATATTGGTTGTATTTGTGTTCATAGGTGTTGACAAGAAGAAAAGTACAAAATTATCAAATTTGTACCTTTGCAGAGCCTTTTTGGATGATTTATGACACAAGTATTTTCCATGGATATTTTGGATGAAGAATGGAGCTATCATGTTAGTGATTGAAGAGCTTGAAGAGTCAATTTTATGCTTATCAAAGTCATAAAGTTGATTGCTTAGAGTTTTCAAGGCAAAGGAGCAAAGACGAGTTCAAGGCAAGAAGACATGTCAAGGTGACGAGCTATGACACTGCCCACCTGGGTGACCAGGCAAACCACATGGGTCTTCAGACAAACCATGTGGGCGCCCAGGAGGAGTCGGGAACACTCATTGTGCGCGCACAGCAGCCCATCGTCGACACTTCCATGACACTTCCTCTTGAAGAATCTTCAATACTTTTATGATTTGGCGACAAATCGGGAAAACAGCCATAACTTTTGATCCAGAGCTCCAAATAAGGTGTATGAATATGCGTTGGAAATCTAACTCTGAGAGCTACGACTTTCGTGTTTTGGTAAGAAGCCCAGTCTGACGTTTTCATGGACAAAAATGCCCCTGAAGTTCGCAGACAGAATCTGTCTTGGGCTAGATTGCGATTTTGATCAATGTAAGCCCATATAACCTACTTGGGTCAGCTTGAAGACATGTAGAAGAGTTTAGAACGTCTTTAGGGTTAGTTTAAGTCATCTAGAACTCTAAATTAAACCCTATGTCGTCTTCTATATATACCCATCTTTCCTAGAACCCTAGAAGAACTTTTCCCTTTTTAATTTATTTAGGTTTTGCGGTTTGGGAGGAGGCAGTCGCCCCCTCCTTCTTCATCTCCTATTCTGTGCTAAACCTTTATACTTCTTTTTCTTAGGGATTTTTGATCAATAAATTCATGGTGAGACTTTTTGTTCTTAATAATTTGATTTTTCTCTTTGAATATGTTTCTTATCCTTGTACTTCACCTTATGTGTTCATGTTTTGATAGATTTGGATGGCCACCTTATCTTGGTCCAAGTGACAGATGTAATTCTATGAGTCATAGGTTCAATGGGATTATCAAACCTTGTTGAAATCTATAGGCCGAGATGGAAATAGTTGTAGATGAGTTTGATATTAATTTATCATGCATGTGGAAAAAGTATAATCTTAATGCTTGTTCTAGGAAGGGGTGAAACCTAAATCAGAACAATAGAAATTAGTTTTAGCGAGATGCTGAATAATTTTATTAGCATGTTGAAATTAGCATCATGTCTGTTCCTATACCAATTATTCAAATTGAGTTGTTTAAGATATTAAGAGGATTACTTTGTTCCAATGAAAATTGATGTCTACGTCTTAGGCTATATATCGATTTGGAATAATTTATTATGCCTAATTGATTGCAATTTAAATCAAATTCATGCTTTGTGTCTGTGATCCATGATTTTATTTGATAAAAATAATTACCTAAAGGAGAAGAAGTATGTTTTCAATCAATTATTTTCCTTAAATTGTTTTCCAAATCTTTAGTTTAGTTTTATTTAATTGTTTCCTAAGTTTGATTTATTTATTT